AAGACATGCTGAAGTCTTAACATCTGTCACCTTATTTGGAAACAAAGTCTTTGCAGGTGTTATCAAGTTAAGAGGAAGCCATCTAAGTGGGCTCTAATCTGGTATGACTGGTGTCCGTATAAGAAGAGGGAAATGCCATGTGACACACAGAGAGATGCCAGGTGATGACAGAGGCAGAAATCAGAGTGATGCAGCCACAAGCCAAGGGACACCAAGATTGATGGCCACCACCAGAAGCTAGAAAAGGAAAAAAGGGTTCTGCCCTACAGCTTTCAGGGGAGCACAGCCCAGCTGCCAGCTTCTTGATTTTGGACTTCAAGTTTCCAGAACTGTGAGACAATTTATATCTGTTAAAAGCTACCCAGTTTGTGGTAATCTTTTTTTTTTTTATGACAACCCTAGGAAATTAATAAACTGTTTAGATTGTCAGATTCTTACAATCAAGGTCTGTATTTTGTTCATTTGTTGTATCCTTAGCTGTCTTCTCAGTGATTTATAGACAGGAGTACAGGATACATCCGCTCAGGGAATCAGTGAGTGAGCGAATGGTGCATATCTGGACTGTAGCTGACTAAACCCTCAGGTCTTTTGTTCCTTAAAGATATCTATGATGTAGAGCGGTCACCTTGATTTCATTTTGCTTCACTGATTATTTTTAAACCCAAATTCAGCATTTTAAGTTTCATATTATTTGCGATTGTGTTGTAATACAAGTCGATGAATCAATGTATTTAGTACCCTACCTACCTGTGTGACACTGCAAATTTGATAAGCAGGTCTTCTATCTTAATCCAAATAGATGATAAAAAAAAAAACGTTAAACCTGACAGACCCAAGGACAGAGTCCCATGGCATGACACCAAGCATGTCCCTCCAAGTTGATATCGATCATTCCTTAATCAGTACTCAGGGCACATCAGGCGACCAACCAGGAATCCACATCTCTGCAGCCTGCCCAAGGTTAGAATATGTTGTGTGAATTGCTTTGCTGCAATCCAAATGCTTTCCAATTTCATCAGTCTAATAACTGTGTAAAAAGAGAATGTGCCGTTCTTTAGGCATAACTTGTTCTTGGTGAATTCAAGATGGTTTCTGAAGGTCACGTACTTCTTTTCCAACTACATACCACGAATCGCTGGAATTCTGCTAGGGCACAGTGTCCAGCTCCCTGACCTGTGGCTTCCACAATCTACACCGGTCTGTAGTTTCAAAAGAAAGATTTAACTCTCTCCTTTCTTCTGCTGCCCTTCACATTTCAGGGCTCCTTGGAGATTACAGATGGTCATTCCAGTTGCTTATCTACAAAGTCTTTTAATATCATGAGATGTAATTCATCCAGGCCCGAAAGCAGCCATGTTCTCGCTCATCAAAAGCAAAATAGGGATTTAGCAGCTCTGCTTTCTGTCACCTTCACACCTTACCGAGTCCCTCTCTTTTTGTTCACCTTCCTGATTCAGTATTTCACAAAACTTCCATAGAACGTTTCTTTGCTATTTTTTGCAAATTCACGCTGCTGACTTTATTCTTCCATCTTCTAAATCTTAACCCCTCACATGGAATTCCGTGGCAGCCACCACAAATCCTCCTGGTATTTGCTTCACTTGTTACACTCAGAACATTCGTTATCTGATTAGGATTTTGACTGAATTTGTCTTTCCTTCTGTCCAAACAGTGTTACCTCTAAGGGTTATAGCCAATGGAGTTATATTCATATTTTCTCTGAGTGTTTAGGAATCTGCTTTTTAATTTAGGGCATATAGGTTGAGTCCACTAGCTTAGTCATTAGGGAGCAGTGTAAGGAGTAACCAGATTATCCTCTTGCCATCAGAAGACAAACATGACTATTACCAAGAAGTAATATTGTATAAATTTTCTGAACCTCCCCAACTCTCGCAACTCAATCTCCCTATTTCATATATCTTATGTCAACAAAGACTAAGTTTGTTTAGGAATCGTTCAAAGGAAGGTTTCAAACAATCCTGCCTGCTGGAATGTCCTTGTTTGTAAGTAGCAAAACCAAGTTTCATCATCTATGGCCGTAGCACCGAGTTGCCTAATGTGTCCGGGGCGCAAACTCATACACAGCCAATCGCGAATGAGGCCCGCGGAAAGCTACCAGGATGAGAAGGCAAACAGCTCAAGTCAAATTAAAACCCCAGCAAACAGATCCTTCCTGCTTATCACCCAGGAATTGCTGCTTCTACCCTTCATTATGTCTGAGCACTTAGCAACAGGCTCCGTTTTGGGGGATATCTTTCTTTGAATGCAAAGATACTGTGTTAAGAAATAAAAAGAAGATGCAACAAACAGAAATGGTTACAACTGTGAATTCTGGCTGCTTTTCTTGTTTTGTATTCTAGAGCTTTTTTACTATATCTCTTTAAGGTACATAATAGGACATTTAGTGTACCTAGTGAAATGGTTACTACGGTGAAGAAGATCAGTTACCTCCCCTTTGTTAAAAGACTTCTAAACACTTCATTTCTGTTTTCAGGTAGAGAAATACCCATAATAAAAGTCTCTTTTAATGAGGGGATCAAGAGCCTGGTGCATCTAAGACACCCAGAGAATGACATTACTCAACTTAAAAAGTCAACGCAAATTTCTCTGGTGGGCTGAATGGATAATTTTAATAACACAAATATAGAAAATGGGGGAACTGTAGAGAATATGGGAAAAACGTGGGAAAATGGCTCCGTGTTAGGTTACAACTTTATTTAAATAAAGTTTAGGTAGCCTTTGGGCAGGGACTGAGTTGAGATTTACATCATCCTTGACTCTTGCCCTAATCAATATTTTTTGGTAATTTTTCCACTTCCAAACATTAAAGTGCTATCACTATAAACAGCAAGTCAGCACAGGGAAGTGAATCATGTATGCTGGGAAATCGTTTCTGATTACCTACTGTGGCCCTATATTTTTACTCCTGCGACAAATAAGCTAGATAAAAAAGCCAGGATCAGGTGCTCAAGCCACAGCTCTGTACATACACATTTCAGCCAGTTACTTTACTGATTCTTGAGGTGGGAATGAAGGGAAAGAGGTGAGCAAATTGTTTGCTTTGTCCCTTTGCAAAACAATTATTGCCATCCTTCAGGCATCCCTGAGAACTTCAAGACGACCCTCATGCAAAATTAAACATTTTAAAGATTTTCTAACTGAATCACAATAAATATGACTGATTGATTTTCCAGCTAAAATTAGAGGTTACCAGCTTGGATTTTTAAAACTTCCAGTTACATATATTATTACCGAAATACTGCAAGTCAGAAGAACCTGGAAATAGGCTGAACACAGTGGTTCAAGCCTGTACTCCTAGCACTTTGGGAGGCTAAAGTGAGAAGACTGCTTGAAATAAGGAGTTCAAGACCAGCCTGGGCAACACAACAAGAGCCATCTCTAAAAAAAAAAAAAAAATAGAAAAATGAGCCTGGCATGGTGGTACACACCAACAGTCCCAAGTACGTGGGAGGCTGAGGCAGGAGGATTACTTGAGCCCAGAAGTTTGAGGTGGCTGTGACTGAACTCTAGCCAACGTAAAAGACTGAGATACTATCTCAAAAACAAAAAAAAAGCAAAACCAAAAAACACCCCAAAGTGCTTGAAGATAGAGAAGAACAACTAGGCAAATAATAATAACAAAAAAAGCAAAAAATAACTAGGCAAAAACACTAATAATAAATAGAGAAAGAAAAACCAGGGAAATGCTAATAAAAAGAAGGCAGAGGTAGTTATACAAGATATAATAGGCTTTAAAGCTAAAAGCTAATAATTAGGGCCACTGCATAAGAATAGATTCAACTTATTAGAAGGCTATTATCCTAAATTTTATGTATTAATAAAATAGCTTCAAAATCCCTGAAGCAAAACCAGAGAGAATTATAGAGACAAACCGCCAAATGCATGCCCATAATATTTTATTGATGTTAAAAACACACACACAAAGCTTGACGCCTGTAGCTCAGTGAGTAGGGCTCCGGCTACGTATACTGAGGCTGGCGGGTTCGGGTCCATCCTGGGCCAGCTAAACAACGACAACTGCAACCAAAAAAAAAAAAAAA